GGATTTTAAAAAGGGGGGGGGGGCAAAAAAAAAATTTCCCCCCCCAAAAAAAAAAATTTTTTTTTTTTTTTTTTTTTTACCTTTTTTTTTTTTCCACTCTTTTTGTTGATCTGATTGTTGATTACACAAGGTTGTTGTTTTTACGTTAGTAAATGAAAAGCCAACAGGGTTATATGTTGGGACGGGGAGGTTTTTGGAGAGGGAGTCTCAGAAAAATTAGCCTACGTTAGGTTTTCCTGAATCTTTTGCTGGTAGAGGTCCAGTCCCAAGACCAGAGGAAGTTCTCCTCTCGGTGACAGGTGTCCTCCGCAAAACTGGAGAAGTCAAATGTTGCTGCTCCCTGGGGAGGAGGAAAAAATAAATAAAAGAAGCAGAATAGAAAAAGTTAAAAACAGAATGACCGCCATCAAAAAGATACAGCAAATGAGGTTGTTAGATTTTAATTTTTTTGATGGACTGAAAAGAACGTCTTCCATGAATAAAAAGCTGAAGATTTTTTTTTCTAAGAACAGTACAGTAAACATTATATAACATAATTATATAACACTTGTTCGTTTTATTGAACTACTAAATCTATGGCCTCCGTTTCCTAGATCTAGTATTTATTCTATAACGTTATCTTTAAATTCACAGTGATTCAATGAGATCATTCTTCACTTCTAGTTGTAAAACTACAGAATGCAGTGAGACATAAACCCCACCAGATGGCATTGTTGAGCAGAATCTTCAACAATTAAGTCCAGCAATGACTCTAGAATTTTAAATATTAAAATGTTCTTATTTGAGCTTGATATTTAACAGACAGCTGACAAAGTCCATAAATCATTCAGAAGCCTTCGAACTTGTAGTTTACAAATATAAGTCCATATCATAAATGGAATAGAAAGGTACATTAAAATTAAAAACTTTTGACATTTGTTTAAAATTGTATTTCAATGTTGGGAGAATACCATCAGTTTAATATTCCACAATAAAACACAAGCTTAGTTGTAGAAGAACTTTCTGGTGCTTAAAAAACATATTGGTGACAGCAAAACTTAAATATCTTCAATATGATGTCAACAGAAAGCGAGTTTAGGAAAGACTTGCCAGACAAGCAACAAGTTTTTAACCCCTAAAAGTTAAAAACCGGTTTTGAAGTGCAACATAAAATGACACATTTTCAACATCTGTTATATTTTTTACCCACATGAGACTCAACATCTGAGAATATTTGTAAAACCCCTGAAAGATTTAAATGTCTTTGTGCTGCACTAAAACTTCATGCCTTTCATCACAGCTTCGAATACAACAGAGTAAGGAAATTAGTGCTATGGACTAAATGGTTTTTAGCAACCATTATACCATACTGCAATTTGCCCGCGGGCCGCAAGAATGGGACCTCTGCTCTATATTGACTTCTTTAAAATAATAATAATGATATTAATATTTTTAGTCAGGTCACTTTCATAGGCCAACTCTTACTTTGTTCACTACTACATTGTTTGCTATGAATATGTGAACACAGCTCTAATTCTTGTTCAGTTGTACCACTGAGTGCATTACCCAGATAAAGGAAAGACCACATATTACCTTGTAAAATACAATGAAAATTCGGAAACATATGGCTGAAGTTTAGAGTTAATCTGACAGAAAATGCCCACTTTGAAATCTGGACTTACCTGTACACTGAGAACCAGGGAAAAGGGGGGAACAAATTGTGTTCTGCCACCAGAACTCATCTTGCTGGCTGCCAATTCCTCCCTGACCACTTCTATTTAACAGAGGGAACTAGAAACAAAAAAACAGGAAACGTTTGATCAATGTTTCTGTGAAATACACAACTGCAACAATTTGTGAACCTTTATTACCTCTTGCATGTCGCCAACATAGTCATAAGCGATCCCATACTTGGGGATCTGACCTGCTGGTGAACTTAAGTGGGGCTGCTTTTCCTCTGCAGATTCTTCTTGTTGAATCTCGCCCACATCCACCTGTTCGCCTGCACTCGGCACGGCTGCTGCTGCCGTTTTGCAGCTCAAGCCGCTCTCTTGCTCGGCAATCGGCAGAAGGGTACTTGAGCCCTCCTGCGAATCCAGAGAGGTCTGGGCACTCTTCTCCATGCCAGACTTCTTTAATCTTGGTAAAAATTTACCAGATTCCAGTTCTGACTTCCCGTAATAAGGTCCCTCGCATTCGGCGTCCTCCTCCAGAGGTTTGAGGTCGGCCTGAGGATCGTCGAACACATCCACCGGCGCCACAATGGGAAAACTCATTTCTTCTTTGTCGGTCTCGGCCTCCGAATCGCTAACACCGCCAGGAGACAACTCTGAGGCCGATATTGGTCGGAAATGAGTCCTGGGTGAAATGCGGATGGCTCTGTACTGCGTCCGGTTGATGCCATAAATTCGAGTGTGGAAGGCTTCGCTCTCTGAATCCGAGCAAAGAATAGATTTGGGCTTGAATCCCGGACTGAAAGAAGCCATGTCCTCAGGCTCAAAGGAACACTCGACATGGAGGACTTGAGAGAAGGGATTGTTCAGGTTGATGGATGCAAACGGGTACTCTAGACCTTGCTCCTCTCTGTGCAAGCCCCCGTATGATCCGAGCAAATCTTCATGGAAGATCAGAGAAAATCCCTTATTCAATCCGTCTCCGCCTCCTTTAATGGCCTGATCGCTCTGCCCAAAGGAAACGAGGGGCCTCCATAGGGGCCGGTGCCCAGGGGCAAAGCGGCTGCCAGTGTTCATGAATACATCCCTGCCCGTGATAGTCAGCATGTCGGAGCTGGACGCGGAAGCAGCAGCAGCGGCACACTGCAGCAAGCTATCTTGAGTATCGCTCGGCGGCACGACTGCCCAGTTTTTATCGCCGCTTAGTGTTTTCAACTCTCCATACACTCCTCCGAGGATGAACGATGTACTTTCCTTGTCGGAGTTCAAGTCCCAGGGCTTGGACGGAGTCATGTAATCCCCAGCGGCGTCTACTTTGGAGAGTTTGTTTTTGGCCAAGTCGTGTTCTTCTTTCTTGCCGTCCCAAAGGCGATACTCAGATCGCTGCACAGCCTTTTTCTGAGGTCCCTGTACCGAAACTCCTTTAGCCTGGACCTCTAGACACCGGCAACAGCAAGTGTCAGACTCATCAGAGAAGAGCCCCTTGCCTGGCTTGTCTGCCCCGTGCTTTGATGCGGCAAATTTCCCGTCTCCTATTGCGGTCCAAATGTCTTTTATAATCCCTGAGCTGTAATCGTCACTCTGTTGGTTCGAGTTGTCTGAAAACACGTCTGTGCTGTACGGTTTGCTCTCATCCCTTTCTAGCGCTATGCCACAAATGGACTCTAATTTAGATTTTTTGGTAAAGGTCTGATTGGGTGCTGTGCTGACGCTGACTTTTTCACACTTTTTGCCCGAGTCCTCCTGCAAAAACTCCAAGATTTCATCTTCTAGATATATACCCGAAAGAGGAGGAGGGATGACTCTGTCCGGTTCGTCTCTGCCGAACGGAGCGACGTCCTCCGCCAGAGCATTGCCCTGCTCGTTGTCCGACCGAGTCTCCTCTGAATGCGACCATGGGCTGCAAGTTCGCGTCGATAGGTTCGAACAGTGTTCCGTTTCGTCAAAGGCACTATTTTTGGTCCATATTAGCAAGCGGGACTGCTTATTAGAATGCGGATCGAGACAGCTACTAGAACTGGTGTTGTTTTCGTGACTGACAGAAAGCGAGTCTCGGGGGAAGGGAAAAGTGGCACCATCACACTGCACCTCGAAAAGGGAGAAGCAGGATGAATCCAAAGCAGATGCTTCACTGGGAGCTTCAGGAACGGCCGGTTCTTCTAGTGGTCTGGATAGCTTGCTCAGAGTCAACGACACACTATCCAGCAGCGGAGAGAGCCGGACGGGAGAGTCTCCAAGGAAGCTTTCCCCGTCTATGTCTTCGGAAGAAGACGGTGAGTAACACCCCCATACATGTACCAAGTTTTCAAAATCCTCCATTAAAAACCCAACAGTTCCCGAAGCTTCCTGTGAGTCTGCCTGTATTGCACTTTTCCCTTGCTGCTCAAGGCCATCTAACACTAAACAGCATTCTGCCTCATTGTCTCCTTGCTCTTTGCTTTTCTGTCGAATCAGGCTCAAGATCCGACTCTCTTGTAACGTGTCTGAGGCACTAGTATCCAATATGGATTGATAAATATCGACTTCATAGAAGTCGGTGAATTCAGACAGATGCTTGTCATCTAAATCTCTACTATCTTCTGGCTGAGGGCAACGCAAAGTGTCAGTGAGGTCGGCGGGTTCATTGTCCGCGTTGCCAGGCGCTTCCACGAAGTGCCCGTCCACAAACGAGCCAGCTGGTAGATAGGCCCGCTGGTAGCTCTCGCTGGCAATGCAGATTCCCTGGATATTTTCGGGCAGCCTTTCCATTTCCGCAGAAAAGCTGAAGCCATCCGGAGAGCCCATCTTGCTGCGATACTTCGTTTCAAGCTTACTTTGACAGCTGCTGAATGGTACAAAGTACTCCGTGATGGGCTCGGTGTACCACAGGGGCTCCTCCTTGTACTCTTTTTTGTTTCTGGCCTCAACTGCAGACTCCCTTGCTTCCAGCCAGCCCAGCTCTTTACGAATCTCCTTCAATGGTCTCTTCCCCTTCTTATAAAGCTGTGGTTGTTTAGCAGCGCTGCCGGTCATGCCGCCGCCACTCGCTCCCACGTTTCTTCTTTCCTCCTTATCGATCACCTTCATCTGCAGCTTCACCTGCCCGTTGTTGCGTGTCCTCTTGTTCTTTGCAGCCTCCCTGGATTTGTGCCTTACTCTAACTGTTTTGCTTCTGGATGACTTTGTGTCACCCTGGTTCCCGCTGGAGCTCGACCCTGCCTCACTAGAACCAGAAGACCAGGATCTGGGTCGATATTTGCCCTCAGATCTGTGTCTGATCTGTCTCTTAGAGTGACTGATGGTCTTCTCCTCCGCTGCTGCGCCACCATGGCATCGGTTTTCCTTCTCTTTCTTGTTCCGTCGTTGCTGGCCTCTCTCGCTGGTCACAGTAGGGATGGTACCACATGCCTCGAGGTGTCGCTCTTTTGCAGCCTCACCGTCACTGTTGCAGTCTTTGGGGGAAGAGGTGTCTGTGCTGGTTTGTGGAGCTGCAGAGGATGATGAACTGGAGTATGTGCAGGCCTTGGCCTTGTTCCACACCGTCATGATCTCTTGGAGACAAACAGGTTTCTCTGACAAAGGAGGAAAGGCTTCATAGTACCTGCAATCACACCAAAAAAAAAGGAAAAGGAGATTAATTGCAATCAGAGTAGCTTTTATTAACTCATGACAAACTATACAAAGGATAATAGAAGACCACAAAGCTGAACAAATAAAATTAAACTACAAGAAAATGTACAACTATCAAGATAATGCTCTACTTATGAAAAGCAATGTTAAAAAAATACATTTGCCTACACATCTATGCCAAATTAATGCCTTTCTATGCTTTAATGCCTTTCAAAAGGTACTTTTTTATAAATGAGACTTTAACATCGAATCAGATCAGCCGCAACTCTGCAGTTGTGTAACATACTGATGGATGAGTTCAAGATCAAATCCATTTTAAAGGATTTTGTAGAGAAGATCCAAAGCAAGTTCAAAAATCTATTCAGCATTCAAATTTCTTTATTCACTCATAATGAGACAATGGCGCAAAAAAAAAAAAAAAAAAACTGTTCAAGAATTCAGTGTTCATCTGTAAGAAACTCAGAACGTCAAGCTTTATTGCACTGAGAAAATGCGACAAAGCTTAGAGATGGCCGATACATCGACTGTATTCAATTAAATAAATTTGCTGTTTATGAAGATTTAATTTGCGTAAAAATAAATTACAATCAGAGTTCAAACTTACATTTCCACCTGGTCCTTAGAAGAAGGCGAATCTGCACGTTCTGGTGACTGACAGCCATCCGATTTCTTTTGAATGCGTTTCTCTTCTGGAAAATGATTCAAAAACAGCAAAACATCTTAGTAAGATTGCCATTTGTGGTTTTTTCTTTATCAAATAGCAGTAAAGACAGCTAAACAATAGAAAAATTAATTTCAAACCTTTCTGTTTGTTTTGGATGTCCTTAAGTTTAGAGCAAAGCTCTTCAACCAGACTCTCAATTCCAGAGTTCTGCACAGAAGACAAAAACAAGAGGAATATTTGAGATGCATATCTTTCCAGGTAACCAACTAAAAGTATGTAGCTACTGAAACTAAATGCTAACTCTGTGTGTGTATATATATATATATATATATATATATATATATATATATATATATGGTCAAATTTGCCACATCTCAATTATTAAAAGACATGTTCCAGAAAATAAAATGACTGCAGTCTGTTTGCAAGTTGTAGTTGATCTGGCAAACTGCTTTGAAACAGCAGAGGGAACAAATGGCATGCACTCTGCTAGGACAGGTCTGCCACAGTAAAAAAATATTTTACTGGCTGATAAATTGTCCCAGAAATTATTGCAGTAAGATTGTCATTTTCAGATCAAGGGAGGAAATCTCATTTCATTATTGGAGGCTGGGGGGAGACAACAAACAGGGAAATATAGAAAAATATCCAGATTTCTTTTGTGTGTGCAGTTTTAGAGGCTCTATGTTGAAGATAAGAAATAAAAGCACATTTCTGTTTTTCTCCATCTCTCTCTGCTCTCAGCTCCTATACACTGAGCTGTCGGCCAGTTGTAGCGCTTAGTCCCTCCCGTTTCAAACTCTTCATTAACATAAGAGTTAAAGAGCTAAATATAATTGATTTGCTACCTTCGACAAAAAAGTTTAAGTTCATCAAAGCACAGCCAGTTTTGCTAGTTTTGATTTCCAAGGCATAACAACGCAGTTTATCGTGATTCAGCCAAAGTAATAAAATAATGAACTGCAGTCTGATTTTCATTGTTACTCCGTTTCTTCCTATTGAGCAGTGAAAGTAAATAAAAGGTTTAAATGACTTTTGCTTCAAGTTTTTACTTAGGGTTTGCCGTTAGTGCTGCAGAGCCACAGCAACAGCTCTCGGAGCCTGTGCTGTTCAGCGTTGCTGTTGCTCCTAAACTTTGGATTAGCAATGGCAGGGGTGGACCTACAAATTCATTCTTATTTTTTTCTTTGATAAATGGTGGATTTACTTTGTTCTTTCTTTCTTTTCATATTGATATTGTGTAAATACAAAGGTTATTTTTTTACTTTTTTGGTGGTGGGGGGGGGACAATTCTAGACTTTTCC